TATATATATATATATAAACTCCAAGTGGAGTATGGGCTCAAAATAAAACAACACATGTCTAAACAATCGTTATATATCTTCTATTCATCTGTTTCTCTGTTCATCAGAAAGATGAAGTACCTACTGGTCTGCCAGTCCCAATCCCCAGGTCCAGTCCACCATGTCCTGGATTTGTTTTAAATAGAAGATATTGCGCATAGCATGGAGGTTGAGGTGTGGACAGTCTCCTGTTTGTAAGGCCATTCGTCTTCCAGTCAAGGATGCCTACTCCTCTTACTCATAGGGATTCAACAAAAGATGAAACACGATCTTGCAACGCTGCCGCCCCCCGCTGCTGCCGCAAACAAACACCCACCTCCAACTTCCATGTTGACGTGTAAAGAGTGGGCGTGTAAATAGAAGATATTCACCGCTATTATTTGGTATGCAGCCGTGCTGCTGGAGCCACCAAATGCCTCAAATACGACAAGGTCGTATCAGCCGACATGAAGTGCGACTCCGCATTGCCGGAGAAGAAGACGAACACTTGTCCATGATAGGAGGAATTCAGTTCTTCCACCTCCCCAGGCGTGAGGCTGCCGTTGCGGACACATACCCCCAACGGTCCTATCTCACCGTTGGCCCATGTCGACGTAACTGCTGTTACGCCCTGCCGACCCCCGACCACGAAGTCCGTCCTCCCAACAAAGGCACACGTGATGCTGGCACAATATATTTCGTTTGCCTACAGTATAGAAAAAGAACAAGTCTTCCAAATAGAAGATTCTCCCCAAAGATGTTTGAAAGCAACATGGTCAGGCAAACGGTCCTCGGAACGCCCTTGCGGAGTTTGCTGGCCCGACTCCCTGAAGGGTAGCTCATGTTCTGCAAGGCCTCTGCTGTGACCATCTCCTTGATGGCCTTGAGCTTGCTGGCATCATCCGGCCTGAGGTTGTCCTTTACGGCATTGCGGTGCTTCAACTTATGCAAGACTCGCTTGGCTGGGTCATAGGATCCCTTCCATAGCTGGTCAAAGTTGAGAACCAAGCGCCAGTCAACACCCAGCATTGCTCGCTGCATCCGGTGCGCTTTGCGCATTTCTTCCATCTCGATGGAAGTAGTTGCCAAAAATGCTCCCTTGGTGTTGCTGTTTTGGTAGGACCATTGCCATTTCTTCATGAAGCGAACGATCCATTTTTTTGGCAAACCTTGGGCCACATAACTTTCAACGCAGCATGCAAACATATTTGTGAGACTTGAAGCTATATAGTGGGCGGTATCATCATAGCTACTATTATATATAAATCTTCTATCCAATTGTCATCTTCACGGGAAAACTCACAAGTGTCCAAAACCTAAGCGTATCCCAAGAAACGTTTTTTTCTGACTCCCTTTGCGGGGACGTCTTCCGATCTGCACGCCTTCTCAAAATGTTCCACAAAGGAATCCAAGAGGTCGTTGGCGGTGTCCAACAACAACGGAGTCTTAACCGTTGAGCACGATTGTAGGTCTCGACTTGGGCCGCCAATCAGTCTCTCCTCACTCTCCAGATTTCAATAGGACATGGGTTGCTTTTGTGTTCTTTACAGATGTATATGCTGCATATGTATATAATATTTATATACAATCTACTGCATATACATCAGTGACACCAAAATGAAACATATAGAATATCAGTTTGCAGCCTCTCCGGATTGAAGCCCTGCAAAACTCATCACTCTAAAAACTGGTGAGGACAGGGTTCCAAGATCTCGTTCAAGGCTGTCTCAACCTCCCACGGAACATGTCGTTCATGTCCACAAACAAAGCGCTCTTCGCGACCCATGGCCCTCCGCACCCAATTCGGCACCTGCTTGATGGAATGTCGATCAGACACAGTCATATGGTCCCACGGGATCTTGCCCCACTCCTCCCGGCGATAGGACCTGCCAATTCCAGAATGCTGGAGAGGGAGCAATATCACACTGAGCATGCGAATAGAAGAAATTACACGTTTTGACGCAGTGGTGGGCGCGTACATTTTTGAACAGGTTGATGAGCCTTCAAAAGTCCCTACAGGGTACTGGCAACAAAAGGTGTTCTGTCAATCCCGGGCACTCCACCCATTTTGACAACAAACCGGTCTTGAAGCGGTTCTTCTCCACGGAATAGAAATACTTCTTGAATTTCTCCATTACGTGTTTCTCCACTGAGGCAACTTCACCTTTCTCTTGCGCATCCAAGGCATACTCGACAATCATGCACTTCGTATGCAAGTTGATCGATTGGGATTTGTTCACGGTCTTGTTGGATGAGGCGTCCTCGCTTGGCTCGTCTGGATCCATGGGCTCCGCTTCTTCATCCTCATCTCCCTTTCCTTTCTCTTCAGCCTTGGTCCTTTGCTTTTTGCTTGCCTTGGCTGTGGTAGCGTCACACGCTCTCTTCCGGTTCTTTGTTCCAAATGGTCTGCCAGCGCCCCTTGCGTTGGGAAGCCTCCGCACCTCAGTCTTGAGTGAGTTGATGGTCTCATTAGCCTCTCTGATCTGTTTTCCAAAGGAACTCCAACTCACTGGTCCTTCAAAAGCACCGTTCTTGAAGTTCGACAGCGCTAAGATGTTCTGCACCACTTGGTTGGAACCAGCATACTGTCCCAATTTTGTTGACAGCTTCTTCTCTGCGCCATGGGGGTCGGTTGCCACGATGTCCATCAACTCCTCAAGCATGAAGTTGTAGATATCCTGTACAATCTCTCCCGCTTCATCAAGCGTTTGCATCATGCCAGGTTTATTTGTCACCCGAGGCAGCTTCTTCTGAGGACCTGGGACAGGATCATCATCCAAATCTTCTTCAGGCTCCGGCTCGGCATTTTGATTGCCTTCTGGTTCTTCCCGGCTCTTCATTCTCTGGAGTCTCCCCTGGGCCAGAGCTGCAAATTCATCTTGGGCCCTCAGGTGAATCAAATTGTGGGCGTGCAAATAGAAGATATTGGACATAGCATGGAGGGTAAGGTTTGAAGAAAAAAGCCACATAACCACATACGGTTGTATACATAGGTGCATACACTCCAATGAACTATATATATATAATATGGAAGTGGAGTGGACAGCCTCCTGTTTGTCAAGCAACGTAGTCCTCCAAGGGACAAGTTTCCACTTCCATGTTAATGAATCAAATTGCGGGTGCGTATAATAAGAAGAAATTACTGCAGAAAAAAAGAAGAGCACCGAGTACCTTAAAACATCAAGAAAACATCAATATCTTCTATATGTCAAGCAACTTTACATCAGTGTTTGACAGAAGCAAAACAAAGCCAAGCGTCTTGTAGGCAGAATTCTGGTTGTGGAACACCAGTCGGCTGCGGGCACCATTGTGATGGATGTAGTACTCCAGATCCACCACCGCATCTTCATTGGAGATGCTGTGTTCGTGAAATCCTTCCTGCCACAGCCATGTTCCAGTCTTCACAGATGACAGTGGCGTTTTGCATCCACATCTGGATATCTTCTATATATACTGCTACGCCAGGGAACCTGTGAACAAACACAATTCCTGACTCCTCATGCTTCGCAACCCTCTTAAACATACTGACTGTAAGATCTGTAAGTGTTTTTTGGGGGTTGGGGGCTTCCTTCTTAGGGGAGAATCCTCGCAGAAAAGCACGGAAACATGGGAGAGTCGTCCTGAAAGCAGCACTTGACCTCCTCCATGGCAGCATCGGTCAATCGAAGAACTCTCGGTTTTCGATCCTTGTCGATTACAATCCCGAAGGATTGCGGGGACTCTCTCTGAAGCAGCCACATCATGTGCTGATCCACTGTTGAGAAAAAAGCATCAAATGTCGGATGGCTGTGTACCCATCCGACAATCACAGAGCTTGTCGATTCCAGGTGCGCCAACATCTCCTGTGGGGCGTCGCCGGCTTTTGGCTCTTGCACAGAGTAGTTGGTGCCGGACTGCAGCGGCAGGAATAATCCGTTGCAGTATACAATGGAATGGCCAACGCCCTTCTTGGTCTCAATGGTGCCCGTTATCCAGCCCATGACTTCGTGGGGTGAATGGCGGAAAGCGTACTCACAAAATTGGCGCAAAAGAAGGGCTGGAAGCTGAATTGGTCTTTCTTTCATGGCCTGGTGCTCCACAAAATATATATTCATACATATATAAAATATTTATATATAATATCTTCTATTCACATGTTTGCTGCAATTGTTTGCAACAACCGTGAACAAAAACCTGTGAATCCTGATACGGACCGACAAGAAGGAAAGGAAGCCGGATTGCAAAAAATGCAAGAACACCGCAGGCCTTCAATTCCTTGGGGTCTTTCACCTTCCGGTCGTCCGAAGGCTTGAAAAGCAGATCCATATCAATCGCATCACCCTCCGCTATGTCATTGGATATCTTGGCGGACTGCTCACGAAAGCTCTGCAACCTCTGTTGTAGTTTCTCGTTGGCTTCCTCCCGTCATACCAAATTTGAAGGTGGCTTTAAAAAAGGAATTAGACAACAAAAACAGTAAACCAACAGAAAGACAAGGCAAAACAAAAAACACACATATTGAGGCAAATCTCCTGTCAACCATACTTGAAGGGTGGTTACACGTCATGCCCATTCAAAGGAAGCAGCAGTCCTTAGGAACCTCGCTGGGGTCGACCGCCTCAAAATTCATCGCTATGACGGACTCTTCCTGCGCCCAAGGACCATCCGGCATATTCAGATTGCTCCGGGCATCATCAACTGTCATGACCTCTTTCCGGAGGATGCGTTTCGGTGGAAGAGCAACCTTGCTATATCCTGCAACGGGGTTTCAACGGTTGAAATATATATATATATATATGTGGGGCCGCACCCGAGAAGGGGGGCAAGCCTTGCTGAAGACACCATTGAGGTCAGTATCCACAAAGGATAAAGGAATAGAAAAGGTTAGGGCCTCTTTCATAAAGCTTTTTTTTACAGAATCAAAAAGCCATCCAAACCGAAGTGCCTCGACAGAAGATGATGTGGGTGGCATTCTCCAAGCGAGGTCTCCAATATTTGCTGTCAGCCCTGAACTCCCATCTCTTCTTCCCAGAAGTGATAGCTTGCCACCACTCGTGAGTGAGCTGCAACCGCACATGTTTCTCCTGAATCGCGGGGGCCCCGAGCATCAAATTGAATCCTATACTGCTGTCATGGGCGCTTGCGTAGGTGTATATATCTAACTATATATGTGCTCCCACGACAGTGAACCCCCCTAGCACCTGCTCGGCTGCATCACTTGTTTGCTTTCTCTTTGCTGCCTTCTTGGCCTGCTGGTGTCCAACATG